CCCACATCCATCTAACAAGACAGTAATAGGCACCAAATGGGTCTATCGCAACATGTTAGATGAAGAAGGTGTGGTAACCCGTAACAAGGCTTGACTTATTGCTCAGGGTTATAGACAAGAAGAAGGGATCGACTATGATGAAACCTTTGCACCAGTGGCTAGACTCGGAGCAATTCGACACTTTCTATCCTTTCCTGCCCATAGAGACTTCAAAGTCTACCAAATGGATGTAAAGAGCGCTTTCTTTAATGGAAAACTTCAAGAGGAAGTTTATGTTGTACAACCTCTAGGGTTCTTCACTGTAAGTATCCAAACCACGTCTATCGTTTCGATAAAGCTCTTTATGGGTTGAAACAAGCTCCCTGTGCCTGGTATGATACCCTCTCCTCATTTCTCATCTCTGAGAACTTTGTTCGTGGAAAGATTCACCAGACCTTATTTCTGAGGAAAGTTAAAGGTCATATCATTCTAGTCCAAATTTATGTCGATGATATTATTTTTGGCTCCCTTAATCCCTCTTTGTCTTTTCGATTCGCTGATCGCATGAAGAAAAAATACCATATGAGTATGATGGGAGAACTAACCTTCTTTTTAGGTCTCCAGATCAAGCAATCAGATAAAGGTATCTTTATCAGTCAAAGTAAGTATATTCGTGACATGCTAAAGAAGTTTGATTTATCTAATATCTCATCTATGAAGACTCCAATGGATCCTCCACTCTCTCTCAACAAGGATCCAAATGGAAAGCCTGTAAACGTAACTATTTATAGAGGAATGATCGGCTCCCTGTTGTATCTTACAGCTAGTCGACCAGATATCATGTATTCTACTTGCTTATGTGCACGATATCAATATGAACCTACGAAATCCCATCTGATCGTTGTAAAATGCATCTTCAGATACCTGAAGGGAACTTCTAACTTGGGTCTCTAGTACCCTAAGGGTTCAGGTTTTGATCTAATAGGTTATTCAGATAGTGATTTTGCAAGTTGCAAGATCGATAGGATAAGCACCACTGGAGGCTGTCAGCTTATAGGTGGAAAGTTGGTGAGTTGGACAAGTAAGAAGCAAAACTCAGTGTCCACATCAATTGCTGAAGCTGAATATGTAACTGCTGGAAGTTGTTGTGCCCAAGTTCTTTGGATGAAAAACCAGCTGAAGGACTACGATCTTCAGTTCTCAAAGATTCCTATCTATTGTGATAGCACCAGTGCTATTGCAATCGCAAACAACCCTGCACTTCAATCCGAGACCAAAAATATAGAGATCAGATATCATTTTATCAGAGATCATGTTATGAATGGTGATATTGAAGTTCATTTTGTTCCAACTGATTATCAGCTCGCTGACCTTTTCACCAAGCCTCTTGATAAGACAAGATTTAACATTTTGATCAGCGAATTGGGATGCTAAACGCTGAAGAATAATTTTCTTTAGCTATATACATCAATCTGTAAGTGAAATAATACAGTGATCTATCTCTATCACGGAGCTCTTGAGTAAATATATCTACTATCTCTTTCTTTAGTGATCAAAATGTTTTTCAAGTTTGTTTAAGTGATTCTTTTGTTCGTTGAACATTTCTACCTCTTTTATACTTATCTTTTTTTTAAAATCAAAATAATCACTGAACCTTTCTATCTTCAGTAATTCAAATATTTTTAAATGTCAGTTTCAGTGGTTCTATTATCAATGACACTGAAGTCTCTTATGAAAATATTTTTCTAAGTTATTTTCAGTTCTTAAAACAAAACCAGCACTTAAGATTCTCTTCTTCAGTAATCAAAATGTTTTAAAAGGTTTTTATTCAGTGATTATCTTATCACTGAATGTGACTCTTCAAATTTCTTAAAACCTTTTCGTTTTAAAAGAAATAGTTAATGAACCGTCTTAATGACGACATTCTCTATTACCAATACAAAACGCTTTGAGACGCGCAAAAAGGTCTGACACACACTCGACCTCCTTTATCTTCCATCCAATCATGGATGTGAATGTGTCATATTTCTCATCATGGCCTTTCCTCAACCGCCGTATTTTTCCTCTCTCTTACTTTGTGTTTCTCTCTCCTCGTACCTAAAAATATGGGATCTATTCCCTCATATTTTCTTTACGCTTACAAAAATCTTTGACGAACCTCTGCCAAAAAGAGTTTGCAAGCAAGAACACTCATTTCCTTCAACCTTCTTCAAAGAACTCTAAGGTTGAACTTTATTTACATATTGAACTGTTCTCCTCTTTCTTATGAAACAAATGTTTGAGATTGTAAGAACCTTGTTCTCTTAAAACACAAACAGAAAGATTAATAACACATTCTTATTCTTGGTTATAATCTTGTTTCAAAACACAAATCTACTTGAAAAACCCTAATCTCTCATTTGAAAAAATTTCAAAAGAAGTTTTATTGTTCTAAAACTTAAAAAGATCACAATAAATCTTGGACTACTAATATAAAATGTTTTTCTTCTTCTTATTTTCTTACCAAAAATAGAAAATGATTGCCAAGAACGTGAACTTTGATGTGGAAGACATCTCCTTCAAGGCCAATAACCACATTGCCTTGTTGGACATTCCCACAAACAAAACCATCTACGAGGATGATGTTGATTTACTCCGCATGTCGCCACTCGCCTATGCTCTCAACCATGAACCTGTCATGGTTAGGGTGGCCCTTCAGCAGTTCTGGATGACTGTTGAGGTGGTGTAAAAAGAGGAAAAGAACGGTCATCAGGTGGAGAAAATCTCCTTCACCTTCAACAGGATGACTGTTAGCTTCGGCGTGACAACTCTAAAACACGCACTTCGATTCCCCAAGGGTCCCTTTGCCAGCGAACCTTCCACTGCTGACATCATTGCTTGTCTAGATGACATTGGCTACCAATAGCCAATGAAGGACTCCAGCGAGCCCCTCAAATCTCTCATAAAAATCGAGAAGAGCCGTATGTCAGCGGTCTGGCAGGTACTCTAACGAAGGTAACCTTCATGTCTGCAGACTTGGATCCAGGATTCTGGATCACAAGCTTAGGGATAGAGATGTTGCACTATCTTCTATGGTCCAATTCTCTTCATTCCCTCCTTCTCCTCCTCAAGTGGTCAAGACAAGGGAAATCCCCCCCAGGCTAACCCAACCACCACAACCACTTCTTCCAAATGTCCATCTCAACCCACTCTTGGTTCTCCTTCGAGGGCCAAGAAGGCCAAAAAGGGGAATATCTCATCTTTGGCTGTCACCTTTCAAAAGGTCTCAGCTATTGAAAAGATCCTTACCCCCAAGGAACCTTTAGTTAGCCATCCAAGCTCTTCAGTGATTCATGATATCACTGTCGTATCAGTGGCACCTCTCCCAACCTCCTTAGTGACTCAAATCACTGAAGGTGTGAATATCAGCTACCGCCACCGCTGAACACTCACAATCAGTCTCAGCCATATTCTCTTCCCCTCCATTATTGGTCTCAACACGTATCGGTGAGTCATCAGCACCAGTCCTCACGGATGATGAGACACTCACCATTGGACCTGAGGTAGCTGTTCTAAAGGCTCCTCAGCACTCTGGTGCTCATCCTCATGAGTGCACCATGGAGCATACCAATGTTAATCATTTAGATAACGCTGAAGACCCCTCAGGTACTCCACACTCCTACCCCTTCATTTTTTCTAACCAAAAGCTTCATTTTGCTCACTCACACTTTTTTTAGGTTCGTCTAAGGCTCATGCCATGGACGATGAGGAGTACGACATGGCAATGGATGTCAAGCAGATCCTCCAGCCGTCAAGACTGTCCTAATCAAGATGGACGAAGTCCATAAGGACATTCCTCAAAAATACGACGTTGTTGCAAACCTCTCAGTCGTCAAGGCTAAAGTCCAAGATGTAAAGAGCCAGCTCTCCTCTCTTCAAGAGGTTGTGCAAGCAAATGATGAAGCCATAGTTGTTCTCACAAGCAGGGTTGATGACACACATGCTCAATCTCTCCAGCAGGCGGAGCTATTACAACAAATCCTGATTGCTCTTCGCCAACCCGCACCAGTGAGTCCTTCTTCATTCACCGCTGATGACCACGTTCAGCTTCATGAAGCGCGTGAAGCGACGAACAGCCTAGCCAGTGCTTTGACAAGGCTAGAAGGGATGATGGTACTTCAAATCCACAACATTGACCAACTCTCTGGCTTATTCTCTCAAGCCATGTCCAGAGAGGAGGAGATAAGGTCTAACGCCGATGAACCATCTGCTGCCGCTCTTGCTGAAAATGCTGCTCCAGCAACCAATGAAACTGAAGCTGAAGTTGTCTGTGATATTCCAACCTCCAGTGAAGCTATTATAGCTGAGGACGTTGATGCCATCTAAGCTGAAGCTCGTGATGATGATGAAAGTGACTCTCCTGATCTCCCTAACTCCGACAGCGACCTGGATGATGAAGATGATGATGATGACGAAGACGACTTCAGAATTCAATACCAGCGTCCCACCACTGCCACAAAAGGAGTTGCCTTCAGGGATTTCGTATCCCAGGGGGAGCAAAGGGAAGAAGAGCCTACACATGAAGCAAACTAGGGCCCTAAGTCAAAAGGCAAAGGTGTTGCTGAATAAGGGAATCTAAAGGTACTATTCAAATCTCCTCAACCCTTATATTAAGACTCATCATCTCAAGTAATCATTACTTCTCTGTATCAAATTGATATACCCTCTACTACCTGCGGTCGGCTGGAATGGGTCCCTGAGAACCCTACCCCCAACACTCTTACCGACCAGCAGATGACTCAGCTCAAGGAGTCACTTGACCAAACTAGAGTAAAAATTCCTCTTCATACCTCTAGTTGTAGTGAGTTTGACTTCCTAACAGAAGCTGAAAGACTCGAGGCCTTGAAAGTTGAGGAAGAACTTTCAATCCAAAAGAAGCAGACTGAGGACAACTTAAAGCTGGCCAAGTCTCTAGCTGAAAAAGTTCTTCCCGAAAGAATGTCCCAAAAGAAGGTGAATGATGTCCAGGCCCAGGCTAAGCTTCAATCTATTGCAGAAGCAGAACGCGAGAAGAACCTGAAGTTGGCCGAGTGAGACAAGTGCTGGAGCAAAGAAAGTATCAATAAGTGAATCAGCACTCACCCGATCAAGAGCGTCAGCATCAACAAACGATCAAAAGACGGTGGGATGCTGCTCTCCATGCTCATCACCAGAGACAATCTCAAGGCCGTGACCGAGTACCTCTCCTACCTTGGCGAATATGGTTATAGCGAATGGCTGGAGATCCGACAAGCCATTCAGTGCTCAAAGTCCAGACATAAGACGATTATCGAAGACATTATCAATGAGTTGATCAAAAAAGTTTCTAGATGTGTCCCAGTCCCTGAAGTGCCTAGGCTAAAGAAAGGAGGAAAAAGAAAAAGACCTTCAAGCCCTAATGATGGACCATCCCTGAGGAACGAACATGAAACAAAGTTCTCCTTGGAAGAAGTCATGCAGGCTTCGAAGAAGCTAGACCTCTCTGTGCTAAATCTCTCACTGCCAGCTAAGGGTCCTTATGTAACCAAGACTGTGAATTTCAAACCTGAGTTAGGACTTATATTCCTCGACTTTGAAAGTGAAGTGAGATTTCAAAGAATGTCTGAGTTACATCTATGCCCTATGGAACTCCTCGGATATCTCAGGTTCGGGCTAGATAGTGACATAAGAGGTGAAAAGTTGGACCGAAAGATAAGAAGGGAGTTTCTACGTCGAAAGGAGCTTGGAAAAAATGTACCAGGTTTCATTAAGCTGAGCGACTTAGACTAGTTTATTTCCTTGTAATATTGTCCATTCACCGTAAACTATATTCTATGTCTAGTTTCAGTGATTATTCTTATATTTTGTAAGTTTAGACAAGTACTGAAACTCTTGTAATATTTCCTTTGGAATTAATATAAGTATTTTTGTGCACCGCTGAAAAAGATCCCTGAAAAGAGTAATAGAGACACAAGTCTATGAGTTCCAGTGTTACTCTGACATTCACTAACAATCTATAAGTCAGTGAATATGCTTTCAGTTTCAGTTTCCCTTCTTTTAATTTTTCTTAGACTTAAACTTAACAAATGTTTCTAAGTAAAAATTGACTCACTGAAAAAGAACCCAAAAATAGTTAAAAGGGACATGTACTTTATATGTAATTTTTCCTTATTGTTATTTGATTAGACAACTTTCTTTATGTTGCCTTGTTATCATCAAATAGGGGGAGATTGTTGATCCTCTCTGAGTGATTTCATGATATTCCCTTTTACCTTATACGAAGTATTTATGTTTCTGTCTTTCAGTTCCAGCGATCATCACTGAGTTTCTTCAGTGATCGTTGAGAACATGTAATGTAAATCCATCAGCGACAGCGATACTTCAAGAAGACAAAACTCACAACAAAGAACCTTCAGCTAAAGTCGAAGATTGAAACTGAAGATTAGAGACTGGCGAGTTCGTGATCTGAAGCGGTATTCAGTGATTACAACATGGTCTATACATGTGTGAAGACTACCCAAGCCTCAGCGAATGCTGAAGAGACCTTCAGGTTATTCCAGCATTCATTAATCAAAAGAAGCTTACGATTGTTTTTGTCTTGTCCTTATATACACAAAGGACAAATCCATACCCTTTCTACAGCATAGTATGGTACGGAGACGATTAGTTGACTCTGCTACCCACCAACTCCATGAAATGATGTTTGCTCATGAATAAGCTTTTGTACTATTCACTGTAGCAAATGACAAGTCTTTCTCTAAAGGCTTGACACGTGTTCAAACCCTATTGCATTGCATTAAATATGCATTTAATACGATGGGAATAAATAGATGTGTTCTATCTCCATGCAAATATAACTCTTACTCTTGAACCCTAACTTATGTTCAAACGTGAGAGAACACACATCTAAGAACACAATACACTTATCTTCAAAAGCAAGTTAGAATCCCTTTTTAGTATTCTAAATAGTTCTTACCCAGAAAGAACTAGTGTGTAACTTACTTTCTTCTAAGTCTTAACAATAAATCATTTCTTTTTGCTAAGAACTAGTGTGTAACTTAGATTGTTTAGATAGGTTATGTTTACCTTATATTTCCGCAAACAATCTTGTAAAAACTGTATTAATTCTTCTTTATCAATATATATTTTAAATTTAAAAAGTTTACTGTGTTTGTATTCACCCCCCTTCTAGAAACTGTTATACACATCTGGTCGTGAAGTTGCTCTGATTCACATAGGCTATCTGAACTTAGGTACTCCTTTTTGTCTCCTCGGAAGAATGATAGAAAACGGTCATTTATTTCTTGAATGACTTCATGTTTTGGTGCAAAAATTTCCCTTTCCTGAAAATAAGATGAACTCTTGATGTTTACAAGAATTGGAGGATAGACAAATTGAATTAATGCAGATATAGGATCCATTGAATCCGTAATGAGAAGATCATGAGGTATATCAACAACTGCTTCACCATCATTATCACTACTAACCTTGCCTTCTCCTAAGTCCAAAATCCATTTTGCAAAAACCCTTGTCTGTTCAATTTCAGAAGATTGACAATCAACAGTTAACCTCAAGTTCTTAATTAACCTTAAGACTTTGCATTTTTTCCAAATGTAAGATGAACTTAATGACGCATTAACAATGTCTTCTCTACTTGCGCTGGGAATAACCGGAAGAATTTGTCTGAAATCTCCTCCAAAAACAACTACCTTGCCACCAAAAAGCATTTGTGAGTCACTAATGCGTCGACTATTGAAAATATCGTTCGTACTTATATCCAATGCTTCAAATGCATGCCTATGAACCATTGGTGCATCATCCCATATAATCAAAGTAGTCTTTTTTATTAACTTCGCAATATCACTGTCTGGCTTTATGTGACAAAGAGAATTTTTCATTAATAATTTGAGGGATTTGAAAGCGAGAGTGTGTTGTCCTGCCACCAGTAAGAAGTAAAGAAGCAATACCACTAGAAGCGGCGTTTAAAACAATTTCTCCTTTAGATCTTATTGATGCAGCTAATGTCTTCCATAGAAATGTTTTACCTGTTCTACCATGCCCATAAACAAAAAACACACCACCTTTGTTATTTTCAACAGTTGTCATGATATCATCATAAACACCTCTTTACTCATTTGTTAGAGCAATTAGAAGCTCTTGAAACTCATCACGTAGATTACCTATGTTATAATCTAACTCCTCCGTAATCAAACGATTGTTTGAAGATTCAAGAGAATCATTATCAGGGTAAGTGATAACTCTTATTTTTTAGAGTTATTTCCTATTTATTTCCTCCCTTTTTGCTATTTTTAAATACCTAATTTTCTTGTTTTTGTCTTTTATTCCAAAAAGTGTAAAAAAGATGTTGAAACACAATGGAAGAGGTATTATTACAAAAATCTGTATTTTTCTGACAGCTATGCCCACTGTGGCACCACTGTGGGAAGTCTTCCAGCCTTGCTAAAGCTTCTTGGGAAACGTGCAGCTTAAAGATTCCTCCAGATATTTTTTCCTCCAGCTGTTATGAGCTGTCTTCCTTATTGTATTTTATTTTCTTTTGTATTTTCTTTAAGTAGTACTAATTACCCTTGGGTAATGATTGGGTGTCGTTCACCCCCTCTTCTCTCCCCTATATAAAGAAGCTTGGGAGAGCCTTTTGAAGTGTGCCAACTTGTGCCACTTTGTGCCAACTAGTGCCAAGAACCATTTGGGAGGTGCCAACCATCATTTTTTGTAGACATTACTCTCTAATTAATATTATAAATGCTTTTTAATTTTATGTCTTTAAATTCATGTCTTTAAGTTTATGTCTTTAATTTCTTGTCTTAAATTTATGTTTTTAATTTCTTGTCTTTAATTTCTAGTATTTTATTTCCTTATACTCGTAATTTAGTTTTACATTAATGCAATTTATATTTCAGTATTATTTTATGTCTTTAATTATGTCTAGCTAAATTACTTGTATGGATGTGGGTGTGAGTTTAACTTAGGATGTTTTTATGGGTGTTTTTATCTTTTATCACTTCGTAACTTGGTCACTTAAGACGATGTTTAAAATGCGGATAAGCTGATCACTTTGAAGTGTTAATATTAGATCTTAGACCCAGAGATGGGCAGATCCGAAATACGGCTTAAGTGATGCACAATGAACTCGAGAGGGACTTTGAATAATTACGCGGAGACGCGAATTTTGCATGCATTTAGCTAGGGGTTAAGCAATAGGTATTTCATCACAAAGAGATTTGGGTGAAATTTGCATTCCTTTTACTTTTTAGCTAGATCGGCAAGTCTCGAAGTGCTAAACGTAAAAACCTTATGGACTTTTATAAGGCCCGGTTATAAAAGTTCACTTTCGAGAGATCGGAATTTTTATAAACAACTCGTAAAAGTCTAAACATTTTATTATTAATTTTATCTTAAGCAACATTTGCACCCATGCCCATCATTTAATATTAAAAGTTTATTTCGTTAATTAGCTAGTCGGTCCTATTTCAGTCTTTTTATAAACAAAAATCMAAAGTTTTTACACCTTGAAACTCGTGCAAGAAGTTCATGAAAAATCTCTAAATCTCAAACGTCCTTTCTCTGTGGGAACGATCTCGGTACTTTGTACCACTTTATTACTTGCAAGCGATCATAGTGTCGGCGTGCACTTGCACCGTCATTGTGGGGATATTCTGCCCACTAGGAATACACGAATGATCCTAGCCTGTCAGTAAGGCATAGTGGTGAATTTTCTGAGGCTGAAATTGTTACGAAGTAAAATCTTTTCAATCATTACATAAAAATTAAAACTAAAAACAATATAAGAAAGAACATAATAGTTAACAAATACAAAAAAATAAATTAGTTAGTATATAAGTAATAGCTATATAAATCTATACTTATAATATATAATTAACATACCTGGAGACTTTAATGCAATTCGTTGATTGTAAAGAATGTCATCTACTAAGTATTGCCATGTTTTTTGCCAAACAACCTCAGGTCTAGATAAACTGTTTGAAATCAGCATGGTTGGAAATAAGAAGCGTAAATAAAAACCAGATCCGGTTAAATTTGCTTCTTCAATGGCATCAATATATTCCTTGTTATCATCCAAAAGCCCAAGAGCATAACATCCATCTCTAAAAGTAGGAAATATATTTCCATTTACAGTACGAATGTCTTAAAATGATTTAGGACCTTTCACTTTATTCAAAAGAATTCTTAAATATTATGCTTCTCCTAGAGTAGGAGAAACTGATTGAATTCGTTTAACTGAGAAGCCTTTTTTCCTTCGATCCCAACGTCACTCATCCAGTTTCCACAAAAACTTTGTAGGGAATTCAACGTAAGTGAGTTTTCGTGTTTCTTGATAAATTTCATTACGCCACTGATGATTTTTTTATGACATTTTTAATATCATATTCAACACCAAATACCACTTGTTGTTGTCCAGGAAGATGGAAAGGAAGTCTCAAAACAGAAGGAGTCTTGAAATTGACATCGTACCCAAAAATACACCATGAAGCTTCACATGCAGATACATATCTACAGTCATAATATTCCTTTATCTCATCAACAGCATTAATAGTAACCTCATCACTACTGTTTTCTACAACAGCAACAGTAGCTCTATTTGGACCTTTGTTGATATATTTGAACAAATATTTGATTAAAAAAGCCTGATTGCACCACTCAACATTAATGTGTGCTTGATGTCTTTTCAAGAGATGTTTGTTATATGGAAGGACATTTATATTATCTATTTTAACACCTAACTTCTCAATAAAATGCCCATCATCTCATCTGCAATATAAAGGATAACCATTAACATCAATGGAAGTGTGTTCAGAAAATCTTTTTGGATACTTTTTTGAACACTTTCTGTCAATCATGCAGGGACAATTAGGTGGTGTTTGTTTTTTGAAAAAAGCTCTTATTTTACCTCTTATGTCTGATTTGGTCAGACATAAGGCAATTCAGACCGTTTGTTTTTCTTTTTCTTTCAGAGCCACTTATCACTTATTTTCCTCTAAAAATTAAGTGATAACCTAGCCACTTATTTTCCTCTTAATCCTGAAGACTATCTAGAGAACCGATTTCTACTTCATCATTCGATCGACTTCACCATCTCAATCGATCGACTTCACCCTCCTTACCATCTCAATCAATCGACTTCACCCTCCATCGCCTCTAGTATCTTCAATCAACCCAAATCATATCTAAATCAAGAGGGTTTTCTTCTTTGTGGGTTTCGCCACTGTGTGTTTTCGTTCTTGTACAAACCAGTAGTTGTGCACTTTTATCCTTCTGAATCAAGGTATTTTCGTCCCTGTAGTTTTCGTCACTGTATTTTTCATCATGATGGAGATTTGCTTCAATTTTAGAGGTGGATTTAGGCGTTGGATTTTAGAGAAGGAGTGGTGGTGGACGGTGGTTGATGGTGGTGGGATGAGGGTGGAGATTGAGGATGGAAGACTTGATCTGGAGGAGAAGGAAGAATTAAAAGAATATTGGGAACATAAACAGAAGTGAAATAAAAAATTATACATATTCATATGTTTTGTTGGTTACAAAAGCAAACTATTGATTCAGACTTCAGGCGTTTGTCAGTTTACAAAAACAAACAGTCTGACTGATTCAGATTTCAGACTTCAACACCACCTCTTAAAAATTAGAAGTGAAATCAAACTTCAAAATTCAGCACCTCTTAAAAAACAAACGCCACCTTAATGTTCTCTTCACCACAAGATCCATGGATCATGAACTCTTTTACAAGTGAGTAAAAATCTGGATCTTTGTTTTTGTCTGGGATCTCAGCTGAGATAATAGGATGAATTTGTTTAATAGTAAGTAGCTTGAAATCAGAGTGCATAAATAGACATATATGACTATGAGGCAATCCACGCTTTTGAAATTCATTTGTATAAACAACTACAAAAAAATTCAAAATTTAAATTAATAAAGATAAAATTGAAGTACAAAAATTTTGTTAAAACTGCTATCATAAATTGAATGTACCTGCCTGAACTTTACCGAATAATGCACTGTCTTTCAACTTTTTAATAAGTGCATCAAACTTGATCTTAAATAAACGACAAAGAATATCAGGCTTCTCTTCTGGATTTAGCATGGTGTCTTTAAGAAATCTTTTAATTTATGGCCATTTAGGATTACATGTCATGGTTAAGAATAAGTCTGGATATCCATACCATTTACAAAGGAACATTGCATCCAAATAATTTTGCATTATGTACCGAGCACCACCGGTAAAAGAAGAAGGTAATATAACACGCTATCCAATGTTTGAAGCATCCGACTCTTCTTGCTCTTGTACATTACGTAAATTATCATAAGTCTCACATCGTAAAACTTTCTGTTGCTTACATATGTAATGCAATCTCTCACTTTCAATCATGGTATAACCATCAATGATAAATTGCTGCAGAAGCTTCCTTGCATTGAGAATTAATGAAAACATATTTACCCTATCTTGAAGTTTGAAGGCAAAGATTTCCCTCATTGTTACAATTGGTCTTTTACTTTTGCTTGAAGATGTTATCTCTCTATGGGGAATGTCAACTCTGTAACCATCTTCTCCGTATGGAAACAACAACGGATATTGAAGAGGAAGGTAAGAAGGATGTAATTCACTTATTTATTGTAGATAATCCTTTTGATGTTTTACAATGATATCTCTCTTTTCAATTGTACCACCATCATCTCCAACAATAAAAGCTGCAACCTCTGAAGCAGTTGGAAGGTTATATGTTCTTCCATCCTTTTCCCGTCTTCCAATAAGCCGTAAGTTTAGCTTCATATTAGGGTTGCATTGGAACCAATCTCTTGCCATTCTATAAGACTTGACCAAAACATTTTGGGCATAAAAAATGAATATGAAGAATTTGTAATATGAATAATAGCATATAATAAAATTTGTTTGAAAAATATAGAAAAATATGAGATATTTTAATTGACTAACCAATTGGTGGATGTTCTGGAATTATCTTTGTTATAACATATTGAAACTTCATGAAAAACCAAATACAAAACCATTAAAATCCAGGCACATGAAGAAATGTTGAACAATTGTATGATTTTTGATGAATATAGCAGCCCCT